ATAGGGAAGGCTGAGCGAAGGAAGATAGATGCTTTTGAGCTGTGGTGTTGGAGGAAAGTTCTGAGAGTGCCTTGGACTGCGAGAAGATCCAACCAGTCCATCCTCCAGGAAATAAAGCCCGACTACTCACTGGAGGGAAGGATACTAGAGACAAAGTTGAAGTACTTTGGCCACATCATGAGGAGACAGCAAAGTCTAGAGAAGACAATTATGCTGGGGAAAGTAGAAGGTAAAAGGAAGAGGGGCCGACCAAGGGCAAGATGGATGGATGGCATCCTTGAAGTGACTGGACTGACCTTATTTATTATTTATTTATTTCACCTACTTATACCCCGCCCTTCTCAACCCCCGAGGGGGGACTCAGGGCGGCTTACAAAAGGCACATCTCGGTACCTACACAAATACAATAACATATAAAACCAGCAATTAAATGGTCAACAATTAAAACACTTAAAAACAATATATCACACAACCAATAGCCAATCTCAGACACAGCGTTCACCAACTCAGAGTTCATATTTCGTTCCACCATTGTCCAATTCCTATCCATCGTCACAGTCCCTTATTCATCTGCCAGAGTGCCCAAACGCCTGGTCCCACATCCACGTCTTTAATTTCTTTCTGAATGTAAGGAGGGATGTTGCTGATCTGATCTCCCCGGGGAGTGAATTCCATAGGTGAGGGGCCACCACTGAGAAGGCCCTGCTCCTCGTCCCCGCCAATCTCACTTGTGACAGAGGCGGGGTCGAGAGCAGGGCCTCCCCAGAAGATCTCATACTCCGAGATGGGACGTAAAGGGAGATGCGTTCGGACAGACCTTGAAGGAGCTGGGGGTGGTGACGGCCGACAGGGAGCTCTGGCGTGGGCTGGTCCATGAGATCACGAAGAGTCGGAGACGACTGAACGAATGAACAACAACAAGCTGGAGATGTTGGACAGATTTTACAAGCAAACCATAAGATTGACCATGAAGTTAATTTTCTCCCTGTAAGGCTTGCCACCCTTTCCCCTTCATTGCTAAGTTTATCTAGAATTCAATTTGCAACCTCTTGTATTCAAAACAGGCATTGTGCACATATATCATTACTATGCAGTATGTGACTCTCAAGGTGTTATTTGAACTGTAACTTCCATTAGTTCTGAACCAGCATAGGCTGTAGTGACATTATGGACATTTTGGTGGCCCTTGTGCCTGATCAGTTTATTCTCAACACATTCTAGCATTAGGTTAGGTGCATGAAAAGAAAGGAAGGCTCTGCACCTTTAATAGCTGTCCAGAAAGGTGGCATAGGAATAATCTCTATCTATATATCTATATTTATCTACATATATCTATATATCTATAATATGAATGTATATACTATATCTATGTTTGTTTGTTTGTATGCATTTTTGAAGATGGCTCCAACTTCCAGAAAACACTGTTACTTCTGCCAACAATGGATCTGGACCAGACTTGGCACACAATGCCCTCCATGACCCACTTTAAATCCTGGTGAGGTTTGGGGAGGTGAAATACCTTTACCCACATCCTGACATGGCTGCGAACCCCATCAGGGGAGGTTCTGTCTCCCATGCTTTTTAACATCTACATGAAACCGCTGGGAGAGGTCATCCGGAGTTTTGGAGTTAGGTGCCATCTCTATGCAGATGACACACAACTCTACTACTCATTTCCACCTAATTCCAAGGAGGCCCCTCGAGTGCTGGACGAGTGCCTGGCCGCTGTGGCTATCTGGATGAGGGAGAACAAGCTGAAGATCAATCCCGACAAGACAGAGGTCCTCCTGGTCAATCGTAAACCGGATTGGGGTATAGGGTGGCAACCTGTGCTGGACGGGGTTACACCCCCCCTGAAGTCACAGGTCCGCAGTTTGGGAGTCCTCTTGGATTCATCACTTACGCTTGAGGTTCAGGCGTCGGCGGTGTCCAGGAGGGCTTTTGCACAACTAAGATTTGTGCGCCAGCTGTGACCGTACCTCGCAAAGGCTGATCTGGCCGGGGTGGTCCATGCCTTAGTCACCTCTAGGTTGGATTACTGTAATGCGCTCTACGTGGGGCTGCCCTTGAAAATGGCTCGGAAATTCCAACTGGTTCAACGGGCGGCGGCCAGGATGTTAACTGGCGCCCCTTACAGAGAGAGGTCAACCCTTCTGTTTAAGGAGCTCCATTGGCTGCCGCTTACCTACCGAGCCCAATTCAAGGTGCAGGTGCTTACCTACAAAGCCCTAAACGGTTTGGGACCTGCCTACCTGCGTGACTGCATCTCTGTATATGAACCCACACGTCCCCTCCGTTCATCCGGAGAGGCCCTGCTCACGATTCCACCTGCGTCGCAGGCACGTTTGGTGGGGACGAGGGACAGGGCCTTCTCTGTGGTTGCCCCCCGACTTTGGAACACCCTCCCCAAAGACATTAGACTAGCACCTACGTTGGCAGTCTTTAGGAAGAACTTGAAGACCTGGCTATTCCGATGTGCCTTTCCTGAGTAGGATAACCTCCAGCACTACGTCCCAGAAGTACTTTATTAGAGTTTAATTCTCTCTGCACATTGCACTTGCCCAGAATCCCAACATATCACCTCTTACACCCAGCACTTTTTTAACCTGTACCCTTCATTGGCCCGGCCCTGGTTTTATTGCGTAATAGTGTTATGTTTTGTTGTTGTTATTGCTTATGTTTTTAATTTGCTTGCATTGTATTGTTATTGTCTGTTGTTGTTGTTGTTGAGGCCTTGGCCTTTGTAAGCCGCATCGAGTCCTTCGGGAGATGCTAGCGGGGTACAAATAAATAATAATAATAATAATAATAATAATAATAATAATAATAATGAAGGACTTGTAAATGAGGCACCACTTTGAAAAATGGACTGTTGCTAATCACGCTGATCCTGTCTTAGCAAATGCACTCTCCAGAGGTTATTAGTAAGAGGAGCCCCTGTATAAGCCAATGACTTTGAGAAAACCTCAGGCAGGTGAGAAGGACCCAGGAAGAACTGGATCCTGAATGAGGGACATGTATGTTGCTGTGTGTGTGTGCGCGCACAGAGGAAAGATGCTGCCTGCAATGATTCTTTACTGTGTGCTCTGAGGAAGGCCAGCTAACTTCTCAAATTAGGACCACACATGGGGTCAAGCAGGGCTGCACATTGGCTCCTACTTTGTTCAACATATTTCCGTATGATTTACCCCAGGCTTTAGCATTGGTGAATGGTCATAGTCCCCAAGCTCCATTCTACACATGTTCCCTTACTCTTATATGCAGATGATGCTGTGTTATTGTCCTTATCTAGTATCGGCCTTAAACGCTTAATTCATTGTTTTGCCAATTACCCTGAAATAAATAGACTGGAAATTAGCTATGTTAAATCCAAACTTCTCATTTTTGCCAGAAAGTGGAAGCCCATGTTTTGGCAGATCAGGGGCCACAAAATTGAACAGGTCAAATACTTTTGATACCTCGGTATTTGCTATAGATATAACCTGTCGTGGCTCTCACAGCAACAAGCAATCATGGCTTCTGCACATACCAACATTGCAGCAAAATATTGTTTCTTCTACAGTAAGGGTAATCAATATATTTCTGGAGCCCTTAATGGTTTTGTGGCTAGGATTGGTTCTCTGTTGCTGAATGGCTATTCCCCATTTGGATTTCTGCAATCAATAAGTCATTTAATACACCACATTGCAAGTTTCTCTGGAAACTAATGGGGCTTCCTAAATGTGTGTCTTATGCCGTTCTAAGCATTGAGACAAGTCAAACCACTCTTTAAACCTGAACATGGATGAGAGTTATATAATCCTGGCTGCATATACATTTTCATAGAATCATAGAATCATAGAATCAAAGAGTTGGAAGAGACCTCATGGGTCATCCAGTCCAACCCCCTGCCAAGAAGCAGGAATATTGCATTCAAATCACCCCTGACAAATGGCCATCCAGCCTCTGTTTAAAAGCTTCCAAAGAAGGAGCCTCCACCACACTCCGGGGCAGAGAGTTCCACTGCTGAACAGCTCTCACAGTCAGAAAGTTCTTCCTCGTGTTCAGGTGGAATCTCCTATCCTTAGTTTGAAGCCATTGCTCTGCGTCCTAGTCTCCAGGGAAGCAGAAAACAAGCTTGCTCCCTCCTCCCTATGACTTTCCCTCATGGCTATCATGTCTTTTCTCAGTCTTCTCTTCCGCAGGCTAAACATGGCCGGCTCTTTAAGCCGCTCCTCATAGGGCTTGTTCTCCAGGCCCTTGATCATTTTAGTCGCCCTCCTCTCGACACATTCCAGCTTGTCAATGTCTCTCTTCAATTGTGAGGCCCAGAATTGGACACAATATTCCAGGTGTGGTCTAACCAAGGCAGAATTGAGTGGTAGCATGACTTCCCTGGGTCTAGACGCTATACTCCTATTGAAGCAGGCCAAAATCCCATTGGTTTTTTTTGTTTTTTTTTTAGTCTCCAAGGAAGCAGAAAACAAGCTTGCTCCCTCCTCCCTGTGGCTTCCTCTCACATATTTATACATGGCTAAAAGCAGACCCCGATAGCTATATTCCCTCTCTGTTATCAGATCATTTTATTTCAGAATGGTATTCTTTGATTCTCAAAAAGATAGAAGCAATTGACCTGCCTTTGGAAGCACTCGTAATGTTTGCAAACGTGGAAGCCTGCAAGTCAGTCAAGAGCAGACTTTTGGATCTTGACTTCCATAACCTGACTCTTGCAGCAAAGACGGTTTGTTCCTCTACCACATCATTCCTCCCATGCGATTGTGGCATCATGGCAGCATATCTTCTCATTTTGATTAATCCCACCCAGAGGAGAATTTTGGCTCCTGCAAGATGAAATGTGTTGCCATCATCAGCTCTTTTGGATGTGAGTTATAAAAAAAGTGGCACATTTCAAAAGGGTCTGTTCTTGTGACTTGGTCTCTGTTGAAACATTCTATTTTTTTTTGCCCAAATATGATATTATATGTGATGAAATACAGGAATTCCTTTTTTTTTCACAGTGTTCCCAATGGCAAAGGTGTGATAAAATACCATATCTTCCGAACAACTCTGATGCATTCTTTTGTGAGACTGTTGCAAATTTTATCCTTAAGATAAGGTATGTTTTCTTTTGATCTGTGATTTCCTCTTGTTGATTATATTGAAAATGCGGCCTTACCATTGTTTGTGCAAATGTAATAAACCCTTAAGAAGGGAAAGATGTTTAATTTGCAGAGATACATCAGTAAACTACAGAGTCTTTCCCCATCCAGTATCTTTATACCATTACCATTTTTGTTAGAATACCAACATGATTTCACAGGCTTCATTGACATTGTAGAATGCTTTATTTAAAAGGATCTGTTTTAACTTGGGGAGTCTCAAGTGTTTCAGAGGAGTGGAAGCCCTCTTTCAAGAAATTTCAAAGCATAGCCGCATCCTGACTCAAAGACATGTTAAAGGTTGATGGGTCGATCAAGATGCAAAATGAGCAAAGGTGCACTTTAGAAGAAATAAGAGGATTGTTTCTGATATGGATTCTCAATAGCAGGCAGATTTGGTAGATATGCAACATTTAAAAGAGGATACTTTAATGGCGGTGGATATTTTGCCTGCATATGCATGGGCTGCACCTTTGAAAGATTTTTATTATTTTATTTATTTATTATTTAAACTTACATGCTGCCACAAGAATAGCTAAAATCTAACAAAATTTAAAAGCAATTTAAAACAATTTAAAAACAACAATATCAAACATTAAAAGCCTGTCGAAAAAGCCTGCCCTGCGGAAAGCTGGTAAGTCCCGCAAGGCACGGACTTCAGGTGGCAGAGTATTCCAGAGTGATGGTGCCACTGCTGTGAAGGCTCTGCGTCTGGTTGCTGTTAGACGCAAGGTCTTGACACTGGGGACTTCCAATAGATCTTGGTCCTCAGAACGGAGGGATCTCTGGGGTTGGTAGGGGGTGAGGCGGTCCCTCAGATACATCGGCCCCAGACCATGCAAGGCCTTAAAGGTGAGTACCATCACTTTGAAAGTGGTAACCAGTGCAGCTGTAGTAAGATTGGAGTTATGTGGCATCTCATCGGAATTCCCGCAAGAAGCCGAGCAGCTGCATTTTGTACCAACTTGAGCTTCCGGATCACCGACAGAGGAAGGCCAATGTAGAGGGCGTTACAGTAGTCCAGTCTTGAGATGACCGTGGCCTGGATCACCGTAGCTAGGTCGTCCCTGGACAGGTAGGGAGCCAGCTGTCTAGCCTGCCGCAGGTGAAAAAAGGCGGTTCTGTTAACGGAGGAGACCTGGGCCTCCATCGTCAGCAGAGGGTCCAAAAGGACTCCCAGACTCTTTACCAATGATGACGGGCGTAGCGCCTCGCCATCCAGGGTAGGCAGCTGGATGTCCCCACTGCTCGGTCGACCCAGCCATAGGATCTCCGTCTTTGCTGGATTCACCCTCAACCTGATGGGCACCACAGTAATCAGGGTCTTCAGTACCGTTTTCAGGGGAGAGTAAGTCCTCACAATTTGTAAGCAAAGAAGTTGCCTTTTTAAGGGTTAACAATTATATAGACTTGTATGAAACATGAGTTCACCATTCTTATGTCTATACATTTCCCCTCTTCCTTTATTTCCTTCTGTCCCCATGCCCCCCTTCTCCAGAGCCGTCTCTTCTTCTAAAATCCCACCCAAAGTTCCGTTCTTTCCATGGAGGTAAATCCCCATATTCTTTTCCCAATCTATATAAATAAAAATGTAATGTTAGTTCGTGCTACCATCAGAAGTCAAAAACCACTGGGGGAATTGACACCAAATTTGGACACAAGACACCTAACAGTCCAATTTATGTCCTCCACTCAAAAAAATTGATTTTGTCATTTGGGAATTGTCGTTGCTGGGATTTATAGTTTACCTACAATCAAAGAGCATTCTGAACTCCACCAATGATGGAATTGGGCCGAACTTAGCACACAGGGCTCCCATGACCAACAGAAAAAACTGGAAAAGTTTGGTGGACATTGACCTTGAATTTGGGAATTATAGTTCACCCACATCCAGAGAGCACTGTGGACTCAAACAATGATGGATCTGGACCAAACTTGGCACGAATATTCCATATGCCCAAATATGAACACAGATGGAGTTTGGAGGAAATAGACCTTGACATTTGGGAGTTGTAGTTGCTGGGATTTATAGTTCACCTACAATCAAAGACCATTCTGAACTCCACCAATTATGGAATTGAACCAAACATGGCATACAGGACTTCATGACCAACAGAACATACTGGAAGGGTTTGGTGGGCATTGACCTTGAGTTTGGGAGTTGTAGTTCACCCACATCCAGAGAGCACTGTGGACTCAAACAATGATGGATCTGGACCAAACTTGACACAAATATTCCATATGCCCAAATATGAATGCAGATGGAGTTTGGAGGAAATAGACCTTGACATTTGGGATTTGTAGTTACTGGGATTTATAGTTCACTACAATTAAAGAGCATTCTGAAACCCACAAATGACAGAAATGGGGCAAACTTCCCACACAGAACCCCCATGACCAACAGAAAATACTTAAGGCCATCCAGTCCATCTCTCTTTACCAGGGCAAGAAAATGTAATGTGCCCTCCTGACAAAGAGCCATCCAGTCATAAATATAGATAGATATGATTCTCTCTCTCACACATAGATATAGTATCATAGATTTGAAAGAGAACCTTAAAGAAGGACTATGATATGTTGCATATTCCAGAGTAGGCAAACCAGACACTCTCCACATCAACATTGACAAAGAAACAACAAGAAATATTGTTTACTCACAAGCATAAAGGAATTACATATATTAGAAACCAACACTTTCTCATTACTTTATTTTCCAGATCACCAGACTGGGCCACAGCAACGCGTGGCAGGGGACAGCTAGTACTATTTCTAAAAGCCTTCTCCAGATACTTTCAAAGTCATTTCCCCACATAGTCCCTTCTTTACCTTTAAATTTGACGTTAGTTTATCATTCAATGCCATTCTCCAGACTTCTTTATACTAGTCATCATTTCCCCCTTCCAATACTTTGCTATTAATAATCTAGCTGACGTTAATAGTATATCTATTAAAAAATTTCCCTCTTATCTTTCCCTTCATCTCTTTTTTAATTGATTGCAATATTTCTGCCGGGTTCTTCTAATTTCTATATTCATAATATTTTCTATTGCCCTTATAACAATTTCTCAAAAATCTTGTACATATTTACTATCCCAGCAGATATGCATATAAGAGGTTGCATTTGTAAAGAAGGAAAGTTGAATGTGCGTGTTGGGTCTGTGTTAACAGCCAGGATTGGTTTATTAAAGGGGGGCGGAGTTAGACTGTTTGGAGGGAAAGAAAGGGCTGTTTCAGTCAGTCTGTTGATGTTAAGAGTTAGAGCAGGATTACAGAATTAGGAGTTCGTGATTAGAATAGGCAGTTTGCCTGAAGTTTGCCAGCGAAGTGAGCTGTGGCAAACTGGGTACAGCTTTTAGGGAAGAAATAGCTGGGTTTTATATTTGTAACAAAGAAAGGACCATTCTCATGCAACCGTTACGCTTACAAGAACTAAAACATTCTATCTGTAACAGCCAAGCTTATTAAACTGCATTCACTTCATTCTGTACTATATTAAATAAACTTTTCTTGTTTATTTTGAAACTTAAAAGCCTGAGTACAGTGTGCCATTTGTGGCTATAGTCTTTCCTTTTCAACCTCACCTGTTTTCCTTCAAGGACGCCATTTAAAAAACACACAGTACTTGGTGGTCTAAAAAGCCTTTTAACAGTTTAACCAGCTAGAGGGTTCCTGTTCATTTAGTTTATGGTGGCAGCGAAAGTTTAAATAGAGAGACATCCCCTCAACGTTCTATTGGTGCCAAAGTGGTGTGAAGTCTTTATTTTAGAGGGACAGTTGGTGGGATCTGTTTGCCCCCCTGTCCAGTTATATTGTTTGGCCACACGATCTGCCTTTATAATTTGGTGTCAGATGGTGGGATTGATCGTATTGCCATCTGCATAGTCTTTATACCATCACTCATAAAAAACACTGAAAAACACAGCAGAAGAGACTTAAAAAGCCAAAAAACAAAAAAAATACATTACAACGCATGAGCAAAACCACACATATATATGCAAACACAAATATACACACATACATATACACATATATACACACACAAAACACATATACACAGACTGGGCCACAGCAATGAGTGACAGGGGACGGCTAGTATATAATATAATAGTATAACTTTATTTTTATACCCCACCTCCATCTCCCCAAAGGGACTCGGGGCGGCTTACAAAGAGACGTACCCAACAAAACAGGTTAAAATAAGCATAAAAAACCAAGCATTATCAAACATCAATAGACATAAAATCAAACAATATTATAAAAGCAATTAAAAGCAATATCATGGCTGAGCAAATAAAATGCTGGGTTTGGTTCATAATTAATAAGTGCAATGAATCCTAAGTAGAGTCAGGGAAAATGTGACAATCAGAGGACTGGGCTAGGAGGCAAATGTCCTTAGGCCATTAAAGTGTTAGAAGTGTCAGCAAGAGACCATGTTAAAGTGCATATAAGAGGTTGCATTTGTAAAGAAGGAAAGTTGAATGTGCGTGTTGGGTCTGTGTTAAGACCCAGAAGCCTCAAGCATGCCAAACACAGTATAAAAGATCCAAACAAAGGTTTATTAAACACAAAAAGGCCTAGAGACACTCAACTCAGTGCCTCTAGCACAAACTAAGAGTCTATAGCAATCACTAAACAAAAAACCCAACTTAAATATAATCTGGATTATACCGGAGTATAATCTGGGATAACAGAAAGTTACAGCAATCTGCTTGAAATTCAAAATGGTCCAAAAAGCACAAGAAAACAAGGTGGGAGCATGCAAAATCGAAGTCCAAAAACAGACCGAAGTCCAGGCACGTCCAAAATGAGATGAAGCAGTTCAAATAGCGAAGTCGTCCTCAAAACACAGTCCAGAGTCAAAGGGGAGGTTGAAGTTAGCACTTACAGAGTTCCAGCCAGAAGGCACAGAAACACGGAGATCTGTAGTTCAAGGACCCAAACTTGAGAGTAATGGCAG